TCAACTGTTTAGCGCCTTGCAGTTCATCACACACCATGGTGTTCACAATCAGCTACGTGTGCTACATCGTGGCTTTATTTGAAGTCATCAGAGACCTTCGCGAGCTTTCAGCGGGCACGACGGGGCTACATGAATGGGCCGGGAGGTACCAAGCACCATCAAGCACCATATGTGAACTCATCACTTGTGATTATCACTTTATTTCCTTTTTCACAACAACTGTTTTTCATGTCAGTGATGACGGTTGAGTGCAAAGACATGTCGAGTTGAGTGCATTGATCAATCAGTTTTGATGTTTCGCAGCTTGCTGCTCGACTGGAGCTGCAAGGAAATTTTGTGTCTCAGGCGCTCTAGGGGCTCCTAAGTGCATCTAGAGGCCCCTCTGCTGAGCCCTGTAACACCAGTTGCCACTAGGGCTACGTGCGTGCCAGCTTGCGCAATGGAGCGGGCAGCAGCGGCGGCTTCCTCTGACGAGGAGGTGGCACTTGCCATCTCGGCTGCAGACGAACGGGCGGCTTCTTTCGGCACCATGATGGGGATGATGGGCGAGCTTTCCGCTCCAGGCCTGGGGAGTGACACAGAGGAGCATCGCCGTCAGGACTTGCACCCCGCTCGCTCCGATGCTGCTTCGTCTGCCGATGCTGCTGGGTCTGGTGCGGCAGTGACTACCTCCCCGAGCCGCCTTTCCCGCTCGAGATCGCCGGCCAGAGCTGCTCCACGGACGCCAGATGTGTGGGAGGCGCGTCTTCTTGAAGTTCAGCGAGCCATGGGGCGCTTCAAAAGGGACTTCCAGGAGGCCAATCAGCGCATGTCTGCAAAGCTCTCCGATGTGGCGTGGTCCACGACGCACCAGAAGGCCCTCAATGACGACTTGTGGCGGTCCCTGAAGCAGCTGGAGACTCGCGTCAACAATGCCGAGACGCAGCTCTCCGAGGCACGCGTGCAACTGGGCCGGCTGCTTGAAATTTTGCACTGAGGGCAATGGTCCGCTACGGGGCTGCGCCGCAATGATGGCACTGACGTATCGCTCCTTTGGGGCGCTGGCTTCAGGGCTTCTTTTGCGGCCTCTTTTGGTCGGGGCTGCGCCGCGATGATAGCACTGCTGGACTCGCTCCCCTGGGGCGCTGGCTTCAACGACTTCTTTTGCGGCCGGTTTCAGCTTTGACCTCGGTCTTTTCGGGCGGCTGGGCTGGCTCAGTTTTGCTTTCAGCGCTTGCATTAGCTACCAGAACCTCACGTCGCTTCTGCTTTCGCTGTGTTCGCCGCTGGCCTTCACGAGCCTTGCTGCATAAGCCAGCTGGGATTAGGCTGTTCGAGCTTACTGCTGCAATTTCACAGCTGAAAAATTGATGCTTGTCTCAGTGCTTTCGGGAGTGTCTGTGCGCGCTTGTGACTGTGAGCGTTTGCGGCATGGCTGGAGTACACTTCTGTGTGTCCAGTGCCCTCTGGCTCCAGTGCACTTTCAGACAGCACAGATTCCCAAGCAGGCATGCGTAGTGGCATCAGCTTACTTTCCATTCACGTGCAGCACTCCGTCTTTTGCATGCCATTAGACATTGAGGGTCTTCGCGCTCGGCTTCTTGCCTTCGAGGCGGAGGCCATTACACAGCTGCATCGTCGAATTGACTTGTTATCAGCCAAGCTTCACGATTTTTGGGCACAGCATTGTCATTTGGCTCGTCGCGTGACGTTGCTTGAGGGCCTGCCTCAAGACACGGACGGGCCCCAACGAGTGATTGACTTACACTCGCTTGACTAGGCCCTGCTGCTTCTGTCGCCGAGCCCCGACGCGCCGGGAACCATTTTGGTGTCCTGACCTCGGTGGCTTGATGAATCAGAATGCGGGCACTTCTCAAGGGGTTCAGAACGGGTGCCCTCGGTTCGATTTTGACCGTCTGCTGAGTTCTGCGATGGACAGTTGCTCTGAGACGCTAACACGGGGCAATTTGTTGCCTTGGGAGTCTGGTGTCTTCAAGCAGATATTTGAATCAGAGGAAGCTGTGAGCTGGAATGATTCCTTCGACTTGCCCCAACTGCCGGTACCAGACGATGCAGGTGAGATCCTGCCTCCTGCTGAGAAGAAACGGAGAGTTGAGGAGTCTGGGATGCTGCCAGGGATCTGCTTCTCCGTGGTTCGGAAGGGTCCAGGGATTTCTTGGGAAGAGCAACGTGACCGCGACTTTGATAGGGCTATTGCTCGATGGTCTTTTGTGATAATCAAGTGGTCCGAAGTGAGCCCTGATTTATTGGTGTGCCGGAGCCTGCTCGATTGTGACACGATCGACGAAAGGACGGACGTCCTCAAGGACTGGCTGCATCCGAAGGCCCCGGGAACTCTTCTCAAGCGTGTCAACTCTTTGCTTCGCTACCACAAGAGTGCCGGTTGGTCTGAGGATGTTTTTCCGTACAAGGAGGCCAAGGTGTACGAGTACATGAGTGCCGCCAGATCAGGGGGAGCAAAACCGTCGCAAATGCGAGCCTTAAGAGAGGCCATCATCTTTGCCAGACACATGTTCACCATTCCGGAGCTAGATGCAGTGATCAGCAGCAGGAGATGCTTGGGGGTGTCTCTTCGGGGACAGAAAAGGCAGTGCTCGGAAGAGGGCCGACCCGCTCACTGTCAAGAATCTTCGATTGCTGCACGCGATGCTGCGGGACCTAACTGTACCGGCATGGGATCGGGTCTTTGCTGGGGCTACTTTGTGCTGCAGTTATATGCGATCGAGGTGGTCGGACTTCCAGCATGCCTCTAGTTTCCAAGTGGAGTACGGAGAGGGGGGCGAACGGCTTTTCCTGGAGTACACATGTGAGGTCTACAAGACAGTTAACTCGAAATTCTTCGCTGGACAGCCCATTCGATTCGTGGCGCCGGGACGGGGCATTGTTGATGACAACTGGCTCGACTTGTGGTACGAGGCCCGCTTGGAGATTGGCATTGACGATTTCGTGCCACCGCTGCCGACGCCGGGCCCTTCTGGTGACCCTACTGGAGCATCGGTGTCCACCGAGGAGATCGCTCGATGGCTGCGCAAGGTTTGTGGTGATCGAGAACACCTTCGGACTTCGGGCCACACTCTTAAGCGAACTTTCTTAACGATGGCGACGAAGAGGGGAGTGGAGCACCTGGACCGTCTTGTTCTCGGTGGCCATGCAAACTCAGCAGGCATGGCTGATGTCTACGGGGGAGATGAACTTGCTAGACCGCTGCGCTTGCTCATTGCTTTGATCTACGAAATCAAGTTTGGCATTTTTGATCCCGACGCAGGCCGCGCTGCGTACCTTAAGGGCGGTGGCTTAACGGAGCCGCGATTAGGCGGGTCTTCGCCACCAAGAAGGGATCCATCTTCCGCTGGGAATTCTTGGCTCCGGGTGGACCAATTCGGCAAGGAGTCCGACGATGCTGTGTCGCAGGGGAACAATGACCCTTTCGACGCCGAAGGCTTGGATTGTCTGGCGAACCCCCCTCATGATGCGGCTGGAGACGCGGAGGAGGCGGGTACTTTGAGCTTGCCCGAACAAGGCGTTCTCGAGGCCGGGGATGACGCTGCCGAGGCTGATGATTCGAGCTCCTCCAGCTCGAGTAGCTCTGGTAGTGGTAGCTCTTCTGAGGCCGACACTGAACCGGAAAGGGTTCTTGCCAATCCTGAGCCGGCTGTGGGAACATATTTTCTTCAACACCAGCGGACACGACTTTTGCATATGATTCTTACTCATAATCGCCGCTTTCTTTTGTGCGGGAGGATGGTCACCGACTTGTACAGACCTCCGGGCAAGATCCGTTATGACTCCTCCGTTTGCCGTAACTGTAAGCGGGCTGCGGCTGAGCTTTAGCTACTGCTTGGCGCGTGGATTGATCGGACAAGGAATGTGAGAGGCGCTTTTGATTGCATCACTCGGCTGTAATGCAGTGATCTTCAGAAGGGCTCTTTTCATTTTTGTCTCCGGAGATTTCCTTTGGGGCCTCGAGATTGTAGCCGGGAACATGTCGTTGGTCGACAGTACGGCCGCTTTCAAGCAGCGGTGCCATGATGTTGATGGTAGTGCGCTGCTGACGGCTTTGGAAGCGCAGGGCATCACCAGCTTTGCATCCCTGGCTTATGCATGCGGGACGCCACAGGACCGCCCCACGCAGGCGGAGATGGACGCTTTTGCTGCTCGCATCCTTGGTGCCGCGCCGCGCCTTGGTGACATCGCATTGCTTAAGCGGCTCCTGTTCGAGGCTTGTACGTACGTGATCGCCCAGCTGCGGCAATCTGTACAAGGTGAGACCTCGGAGACCCCACGAAAGTTGCCTTTGGCAGAGAAAGCGGCACGGGCTGAGGATCAAAAGCGTCGGCTCGTTGGCGTGCACATCGAGCGTGACATGATTCCATCGCACGCCCTTGTGGACCTCTGTTGCCACATGCTGGACGTGGGGGTCACATGGATCTCGCCCGGCAAATGCACTAGTCGCGAGAGCGAGATACAATTGTCAACCAAGGACCAAAGCCGCGTTTTCCGACTTGAGGATAACTCACTTAAGGTGGGTAGCGATCAGCCCAAGGACACCGCCTCCTTTGACTCTCCGATCAAACTTCAGTGGTGCTTGCAGCGACGTGGACTGGCTCTTGACCAGGCCAGGGTCATGTCGTGGGCCCAACATGAGAGGTGGGTTCATTGCTTGCTGCATGCGCTCACGAAGGACTGCCCTTCGGGTTTTCATAAACCTGACATGAATCGCATCGTCCAGGCGGACCGCGAGGCATGGTTGATCATGGCATCCGAAGTTAAGTCGCTTAAGGTCACAGCTGCCGGTGACTTCCCGCTGGGAGTGGCGCTTGATGCACTGAGAACCGACCCTCGAATCACCATGTACCTCATGGCTACTTGGGGCCGGGCACCGGACGTCAAACCTGTTGATGTTGATCACCCGCCGCCAGTTCATAATAAGCCCGGTGAAGGTCTTTCTAGGTCCGCCAAGCGCAGACGCAGGCTGAAGGCCGCAGCTTCTTCGCGCACTACCACTCCCACCGGCAAGGCCTCGTCTGCAGCTCGCACCATGCCTGCAGAGCTCAAGGATGCTCACCAGAAGGCTGAGGATGGCACGCCGATTTGTTGGGACCATAATTGTGGCGGCTGCAAGAACAAAACGGAGGGCGACCCTCCCAGGTGCAATCGGGGCGTGCACATCTGCGCTTACTGTCGCCGGGTTGGCCACTCCTTCCGCAACTGCCGTGCTCGGAGCTGGAAGGGTGCTGGCAAAGGTAAGTCCAAATCCGAGTGACTCGCCGTGCCACCCCGCGGCCCTAGCACAGTTGAGGCTGCTGCGATTTCAGGCACTGGGCCACACGTGGCCGGATATTCTTTTGATGCCGTCATTTCTTCTTTTGACACTAAGGCACTGGCTGAGGTTGAGCGATTGGCTGCCGCTTGCTTGCGTGCCGGTTTTGTGAGTTTCGACTCACTCATGTCCATGAGTGCTTTGCTTCCCGCCGATACAGTCCAGGGACCGTCAGGCAAGCCTGTGGAGCCCCAGGACCCAAAGGCCTTTACTTCAGGTGCATTTGTGCACCTCCACGACACTGGACTACGATCCAATTTTCGGGTTTTCCCCATGTCAACTTCACTGCTTGCACGGGTTTTGGCTGCACAATTCCCGGGGCGCATGTTTTCCTCTGTCGGTTTATTTTTCAACTTGAGGGCACCTGTCCACTCTGATGCCAATAACGACCATCGCCACCCGAATCTGTTGCTGCCGGCGTCGTGCTTTGTCGATGGACAGGTCTGGGTGGAAGGCAAAGGTTCTGTGCCGTGCCCAGACCCACAGGTTAGGCGGCGTGGCTACTTGCTACCGGTGCACCAGGGGCCACAGCTCCTCCCATCGGAGCGTTTGCATGCCACCTGTGACTGGCGTGGCACGCGCCTCCTTGTCGTGGGCTTTTGCATTCGTGATTCTTCGACCTTGACACAGGATCATCGTCGTCAACTTCGCGACGCCGGCTTCCGACTACCAGATCACGGCTGTCCTGTTTTTGCATCTCCTGCCTCTGTCGAACATGACGGCGGCTTCGCTTCACCTCCTGCTGCTCCGCTTCTCCCCGCCCCTGTGGGTGACCCTAGTTCCCGCCCTGCTTCCCTGCGCTCTCTGCGAGACGCCAGCAGGTCACCCCCTCGGGTTGTTAGGCCCCCGCCCCCCCCTTCGGGTGACCCTAAGACCTGTGCTACTGCCCATACGGTGGACAACCGCCATGCGCCTCGGCCGCGAGTGGCTTATCGCTTGCCTGTCCCTGTAACTCAGGTACCCGTTTCCACTGCTGCTTCGCGCTCTGCTTCTTCCCCCGCTTCGACTTCTGCCGCCACGATCAACCGTGTCTTCCCCGACCAGGTTGCGCCTTTGGTGCTGGAGGTCTTTGCGGGTACGGCGCGCCTTAGCTCGGCATGTCAGCGGCTTGGCTTTCGTACTTTGGCCGTCGACAAGGCTTCTGCGCAAAGTCGGTTTCCCATACAGCAGCTGGACCTCACCCTGGATGACGACTTGGCCATGCTCCTGGACATCATTCGGCTCGAGTCTGCCAACATCGCTTGGATTCACTGCGCTCCACCCTGTGGGACCGCGTCTGCAGCTCGATCTCGCCCGCTTTCTGGCGTCGACCCCTCTATGAAGGCGCCGGTCCCTTTGCGGAGCACCACCGAGCCCCAAGGACTCAGCACTCTTCGCGGCCAAGATCGGCTGCGGGTGGATCAAGCAAACTTGCTTTACCGGGCGGTGGGAGCCATCGCCGACCTCGCCATGGCGCTCAAGATCTTCATCTCCATCGAGAACCCGGCAAACTCCCTTGCGTGGCTTTGCGACGGGCTGGATCATCTTTTTCGTCTTCCTCACTATCCGGTCGTCTTTGACGCGTGCATGCACGGCGGCACGCGTGACAAGAGGGGCCTTCTTTGGTGTTCTGATGATCGCTTCTTGCCTCTGGCACTGCTCTGCTCTCGAGACCACGCTCATGCCTCTTGGCGCCCTCGGGTCCTGGCTGGTAAGGCTACTTTCCCTGCTAAGGACGAGGCTGCGTATCCCCACCTTTTGTGCGAACGCATGGCTTACATCGTGGCCGAGCATTCTGACAGCTTGCGTAATTCGGCTCCCGAGCCTCGCCAACCTGCGCAAATACGCCTTCAGAAGCAGCCACGATCTGCAGGGCCGCTGGTATCATGTTACCGCGACTATGATTCCTGGGCGGTTCCTGTTCGCGCTGCTGAGTTTCTCCTGGCATTGCTGCGTTGCTACCCCAAAAAGGGCGCCCGTGTTGTTCAACGCAAACTTGTGCCGTGGGGTATGGTGCGGGTTTGCGTGCCTTCCTTGTGCTCTGCTGCTGATTTTTCCACTTTGAAGGAGGCTTGGAATGACCACATGAGGCAAGCTGAGCCGGAGCAACACTTGTTGGAACAGCTGCATCACGAGGAGACGGTGCAAGTATGCGGTCTATTGCAAAGTGACGACCCCTGCTCGACTAGTGCGGAGCTGATCGTTGTGGGCATCCCGCGTGAACCTCAGGACTTCGTCAATGAGGCGGTCAAAGCGGGACACCCTCGGAACGGGCTTGCTTCTAGTCGGTCTGGTCCGGCTGCTGACATTGTGGATGCTGTGCTCTTGTCCTTCGAAGACCGGGAGAAGAGGGCTGAAGCCACAAGGCAGCGAGGGCAAGCCCAAATACTTGATCGAGGCTCTTGGCAACAAGAATGTCCTTGCCTGGAGAGACATCCTTCGACACAATGGCTTCAAGGACGATCAGCTTTGGGCGGATTTGAGGGATGGCTTTCGCCTCACAGGATGGATGAGGGACACTGGAATTTTTGACAAAAGGTTGCGACCTCCCGAGACGACCCTTGAAAGGCTGCTCGAACAATCCAGCTACCGTACTCCTCTTACCTTGAACAAGTTGAGGAAAACGGTGGTGGATGAGACCACCCGCAAAGCTTGGGCAGAGACGCTTGAGGAGGAGAAGAAAGGATGGATCTTCCGAGAGGAGATGGCTGCTGGCAAGCCGATGGTCATTGCCCATCGTTTTGGCTTGGAACAGAAAGGCAAAGTCAGGGTCATTGACAACGGCGAGGAATGTGGGCTTAACTTGGCTTGCGGCTTGCCAGAAAAGTTCACCTTGCACGGGGTAGACGTTCTGGCTGGTATCTTTGTCGAGCTGCTGAACAGGCCGCTTGCCAGAGGATTGCGAATCAAAGGGAGGACTATTGATTTGGTTTCGGCTTACAAGTTTTACCCCATACATCCTGAAGACAGACAGCACCTACGGATTGGGGTATTTGACACTGACTCCAAAGTTGTCCGATTGTACGGCACTAACGTCTTGCCCTTTGGTGCCACAGGAAGTGTTGCTGGATTCCTTAGAGTATCAGCTGCGTTGTGGCACACCGGGGTACATGACATGGGCCTTGGCTGGTGTGCCTATTTCGACGACTTCCCGCTGCTGGCGGTTGAAGGCCACGAGGCTCAGGTGAATGGCTTCGCGGGAGAGGTCTTTGACGCTTTAGACGTGGAATACGCCAAGGAAGGGAAGAAGGCCACAGAGTTTGGGGAAACCTTCAACGCCCTGGGCCTTTCTTTTGATTTGACCCGTTTCCGTGATGGTGTGGTGACGCTGCGCCACACCGAAGCAAGGACTGCTGAGCTGTTGGAGACGCTTGATGGGATACTCCAGGAACACAAGCTCCGTCCCAAGGATGCCGAGGTGCTTCGCGGCCGGATGCATTGGTATACGTCTTACCTCTTCGGCCGGGCTCCTTGCGAGGCGATGCACCAGATATCGATTCGTGCTCAGGGCCATGATGCTTGTGCTTCCTTGACGCCAGAACTAGAGGAGGCCTTGATGACCATGAAGTTTTTCTTGTCGGACCCCAAGCCACTTGAAATACGGCAAACTACGGGCCGGGAGATGTTCGTATTCACGGATGGTTCGTACGAGCCTGACGGGGACATCAAGGCCGGGATCGGTGGAGTGTTGTACGACGATACTGGCACACCCTTGTCCTTCTTCAGCTCTGACATGGTGGATTCGGATTTGTTGACCTTGGAGGATCAATCGGATCACCCGATTTACGAGGTGGAGCTTTACGCGGCTGTGGTCGCGTTTGAGCTCTGGGGACACTTGATACAGGACAGCTTCACGGTTTTCTTCTTGGACAATGAGGCTGCACAGTCGGCGCTCATTGCTGGGAAATCTGGCACTTCCAATGGGCGAGCGCTGGTACAGAGGTTTCTTGATGCTGAGCACAGATGGAGGGCAAGACCATGGATCGGCAGGGTCCCGACATACCCGAATCCAGCTGACGATCCAAGCCGAAATATCTGTGAGCCGCTCATCAGGCAAGGGGCGAGGAGGATGGATGTTAGCAGTGTTCGTTTGCTCTCCTGAGGATTTTCCGACATGCGCACTTTGCTTGGGGTGTTGACGGGTGCACATGTGTACTCGTTGGGCCTGCCCTCGTGTCATACCTTGGAGGTGTGACCTTGTGGCGGGAGCCACAATATTGCTGAAACGTTTTCTCTTCGAGAACCCCACGGCATTGTGCGACATACAGAATAAAAGAGTGTGAGCGAGTTTGCACCTCTTTGAATACGGCAAATATTGA